TCCCTGATGGATTAAAGTACCCTGGTCCTGCTCCTACATTTAAGAACATAAGAACATAAGAGACGCCAATGTTGGATCAGGCCAAAGGCCCATCCAGTCCAACACTCTGTGTCACACAGTGGCCAGAAATACCAGTGCCATCAGGAGGTCCAGCAGTGGGGCCAGGACATTAGAAGCCCTCCCACTGTTGACCCCCCCCCCAAGCACCAAGAAGACAGAGCATCACTTGCCCCAGAGCCCCTAGCTATACCTTGTGGCTAATAGCCACTGATGGACCTCTGCTCCATATGCTTATCTAATTCCCTTTTGAAGCCGTCCATGCTTGTAGCACCCACCACTTCCTGTGGCAGTGAATTCCATGTGTTAATCACTCTTTGGGTGAAGAAGTACTTCCTTTTATCCGTTCTAACCCGACCGCTCTGCAGTTTCATGGAGTGCCCACGAGTTCTTGTATTGTGAGAAAGGGAGAAAAGTACCTCTTTCTTTACCTGCTCTTTCCCATGCATAATCTTATAAACCTCGATCATGTCACCCCTCAGTCGTCTTTTCTCCAAGCTAAAGAGCCCTAAGCGCTTTAACCTTTCCTCATAGGGAAAGTGTTCCAACCCTTTTATCATTCGAGTTGCCCTTTTCTGCACTTTTTCCAAAGCTATAATATCCTTTTTAAGGTGTGGTGCCCAGAACTGCACACAGTATTCCAAATGAGGTCTCACCATTGATTTATATAGGGGCATTATTATATTGGCTGATCTGTTTTCAATACCCTTCCTAATAATCCCCAGCATAGCATTGGCCTTCTTTATTGCAGTCACACACTGTCTCGACATTTTCAGTGAGTTATCCACTACAACTCCAAGATCTCTCTCTTGCTCAGTCTCTGCCAGTTCAGACCCCATCAATGTGTATTTATATTTAGGATTTTTGGCTCCAATGTGCATCACCTTGCACTTGGCCACATTGAACCCCATTTGCCATGTTGACGCCCACTCGCCCATCCTTGACAGATCCCCTTGGAGTGCCTCACAATCCTCACTGGTTTTCACCACCCTGAACAACTTTGTATCATCCGCAAATTTAGCCACTTCACTGCTTACTCCCATCTCCAAATCATTAATGAACAAGTTAAAAAGCAGTGGACCAAGTACTGATCCCTGCGGTACCCCACTGCTTACCACCCTCCACTGAGAAAATTGCCCACCTACACTCACTCTCTGTTTTCTATGAACTAGCCAGTTTTTGATCCATAAAAGGACTTGTCCTTCTATCCCATGATTTTTGAGCTTACTTAGGAGCCTTTGATGAGGAACTTTATCAAAAGCTTTCTGGAAGTCAAGGTAAATAATATCTATTGGATCCCCCTTGTCCACATGTTTGTTCACCCCCTCAAAGAACACTAACAGGTTAGTGAGACAAGATCTTCCCTTACAGAAACCGTGCTGAGTCTGCCTCAATAGGTTTTGTTCATCTATGTGCCTACTAATTCTTTCCTTAATAATGGTTTCCACCAATTTACCCGGTATCGACGTCAGACTGACTGGCCTGTAATTTCCCGGATCTCCTCTGGAACCCTTTTTAAAGATGGGAGTGACATTAGCTACCTTCCAATCCTCAGGAATGGAGGCAGATTTTAAGGAAAGATTACATATCTTTGTCAGGAGATCTACAAGTTCACATTTGAGTTCTTTCAGAACTCTCGGATGTATGCCATCTGGGCCTGGTGATTTTTCAGTTTTTAAGTTGTCTATCAGTTTTAGGACCTCCTCTCTCGTCACCTCAATCTGACTCAGGTCTTTCAACACCCCTCCTGAAATCAGTGGTTCTGGAGTGGGCAAGCACTTCTCATCTTCCACAGTGAAGACGGAGGCAAAAAATGCATTTAGCTTCTCAGCCATTTCCCTATCATCCTTCAATACTCCTTTTACCCCTTGGTCGTCCAAGTGCATGGGAGTCCGGGTATATCTACCATAAAGTACTGCTGAGGGTAACGCATCAAGCCGTGCTCTAGTAAATGCCCATCTATGGTTAGGGTTTTTTATGAGTCTAAGGTAAGATGTGGCATTTAAACTTGGTCCCAGCTTTAGCCTCTTATAATAGGAAGGCAGGGTTGCATAGTCGTTTTGTGCTTCAATATCCTTAAATCTTTGGTATATTAAGTTCTTTGCGTACTGCAACCCTCCCTCTAGCAAATTTTCAGGATCTAACCCAATTGATTTCAATTTATCTACTACTCTAAGAGCCCATTGGGGATATGGTGTTGATGACAAAAGATCAGGAATAAGTCCCACCGGATTCAGATGGGACTTAACCCAATAGTTACTCCTCTGTATCCAAATATTCAATGTAACAGTAGATAAACCTGCTTCTTGTCTTAAGCCCAAATTTGCAGTACCTTTTGGGGCGTTGAAGAGTGCTCTAAGAAATTTCGATTGTACTAACTCTAGATCTTTAAGTTTACTCTCTGCAAGTATTTGTGTTCCATATATCATTTGTGGGGAGAGTACTCCGTCTCTCTGTGTTATACCTCTGAGGATGCCAGTCAGAGTTACTGGCGAAATGTCAGGTTCTACAGTGCCAAGACCACGGCCACACAACCCGGAAACTCTACAGCAACTAATTGACCAGACTCTCTTTTGGAAGTTAGCGAAACGACGGGTTATTTGTTTGTGATCCGTTAGCAGTGCGGACCAATTACCTAAATGGCCCCCTTGGGGAGGCTGCCTTAATAAGGAACCTGCTCACTGCAGCGAAATCCGTCTTCGCAGCGGTGTAGCGGAACAGGCCACGCTCACCACCGATTCCCCCAAACGGGTCCCAAAAATAAGGACAGTCACCGCAACGACCACGCGGACCTATTTAGAACACAAATCACCTAGGGAACGAGACCCATCGATTGGGAAACGGTCGTCGTCCGAAATATATCGGCGTGACGTGTTTTTAGAAATAATTTCAGGGCCGCGGGCGGTTGTTATGCAGCGGCGTGTCATCGTTCTGAGTATTGGCACTTTAAACGTATTTGAACGCGCCCCTTTGAATGCAGATTCAGGGAAAACATGTTTCCTGCTTCAGTCTCGGGCGTCTGTCACCCGCCGGTCGTAGGTCCGACACTACCACATGTGCTCGAGTAGCCAGATAAAGGAAGGCCGACCAGATTGTGGCAGATTTTATAGCCCGGATGCTGGATTCGAGAGATTCCCCCCCCCCATGCTCCCTCTAAGCTGTGGAGTCTTGTGAGCAAAAATCCTACTTTGTGAGCTCCTGGCATTAAAGTTGTGAGCGAGCGATTGGGCTGCTGTGTAAATGAGTTTGCTCTGGAACCCTCCTTCCTGAGCTAAGACAAGAATGTGTGAGCCAGAGGCTTAAAAAGTGTGAGCTAGCTCACACTAACTCATCTTAGAGGGAACACCCCACCCCAACCCCGATACACTCTGTGGTGAAACGGGGACCCTTCCTCAGCCCTGGGAGACTGAGCCTCCATCCTGTAGCTCGCAAGCCCGTTTTGGCCTTCCCACCCTGCCTGGTGGGACTATTTCTCTCCGTTAAACGCTGCCACCACTCACTGAATTGAGTTACCACCTTCCTTGAGGGACAGTGAGACCCCTCTGACTAAATTCCGAATCAGGTACCTTGATCTTTGGGCGCCCCCTGGAGAGTTGGCAACCCCTCAGATTTAGGCCTGTTTGTGTTCCTTGGCCTCCCTTTGCCCTTGGTAACGTGCAGAGCAGAGAGGACCCTGTGGTTAAGGCACACCAGGCTTTTTAACCTCAAAAAGGAAGGTTTATTTAACTATATACATATTGGGCACAGAAAATAAACACAGGCACTTCAACACAACCGGGGCACAGAAAGTAAACAGGATAAAAACGCAATTCCTCTGTCCCTACCCACACACCCCCTCTACCCCTGTAGTGGGTTGTGGCCTCAGGCCAGGATTTGCTTTTCCCCCTCCTCGTTGTGGAGAGAAACTCCCGCCCTCCTCCTCAGGACTGGCCACCAGTACTGCCACCCTCCTGGCTCCCCACCACGGTCAGTGGTGGCCTGGACGGCCCACGGAGTCTCTGGTCACAGGAGCCCCACCTGTACTCTCCCTTGAACCTGCCGCCCAGGCTGAAGACCAGGCTGAGACTGACTCTTTTCCCCTCAGGAGCCAAAAACCTCTTTCTCCTTGGCCCCGCCCCTGGGGTGAGTCCAAGTGTAGGCAGGGAGGTACGGCAGCTCCATTGTTCCTTATGGAGTTACCCCCCCCACACACACAAGGAACTGTCAGGCTGGCATCCATTTTTAGGCCTGGCAGCCATTTCGTCCTCCTCCCCCCTGAGAAACATACAGTCTATATGAGGGAGGCCATAGTGGAATCAAAAAGGCAGCGACAGTAAGCTGTAGACCAGGGGTGTTGAACTCACTGGAAATGTGTTATTTAAAGTTTTTTAAAAATCTTTGTGTTTGCCTGTGTCCTTTATAAAATGTACATCTCCGCTACCTGCTTTATAAAATTTACATCTCCGCTACCTGGCGTTACCGATGCACATGACCCGGCCCAACAAGGTCTCATTTTGTCAGATCCGGCCCTCATAAGAAATTAGTTCGACACCCCTGCTGTAGACGGCCGGGCTACGGGTAACAATTCAGAGAATTGTGCCCAAATACATTTGCAGGTATCACTGGACAGTGAATACACCCTTGGGCATTTCTGTTGCAAGAGAAATGCTCTTATTCTCCCTTTCCCCACCTAATAAGCTTTTGGGGAATATTTAAAAAGCCGGGAAATTGCCTAGGGCAAGAGGGTGATCGCCTTCGATTTCTCCCCAGCTGCAGGAGATGGACGCAGAGGCGGAGTTCACGAAGGTATCCGACGCCTCTTGCGACGTGGCCTGCCTACTGTACGACGTGACGGACTACAAGTCTTTCAACTACTGTGCCAGTATCTATAAGGTAATCTTGTGCCCACTTTTGGCCGGCTGGGGTGTGGAGGGGGCGAGTGTCTCCCCTGGTTCGTGGCAAACCAAACCCGAGTTCCAGGTTAAACATATCGCGCAGAGGTCCATCAGTGGCTATTAGCCACGAGGTACAGATGGAACACTGTCTGGGGCAGTGATACCCTGTCCTCTGGGTGCTGGGGGGGGGGGCACAGTGGGAAGGTTTCTGGAGTTTTTGCCCCGCTGGTGGACCTCCCAATGGCCCCTGAGTTTTGGCCCCTGTGTGACACAGAGTGTTGGACTGGATGGGCCACTGGCCTGATCCAACATGGCTTCTCTTACGTTCTTATATCTGGGGCAGTGAGGCTCTGTCTTCTTGGTGCTTGGGGGGGCAAGAGTGGGAGGGCTTCTGGAGTTCTGGCCCCGCTGGTGGGCCTCCCGATGGCCCCTGAGTTTTGGCCCCTGTGTGACACAGAGTGTTGGACTGGATGGGCCACTGGCCTGATCCAACATGGCTTCTCTTACGTTCTTATATCTGGGGCAGTGAGGCTCTGTCTTCTTGGTGCTTGGGGGGGCAAGAGTGGGAGGGCTTCTGGAGTTCTGGCCCCGCTGGTGGGCCTCCCGAGGGCCCCTGAGTTTTGGCCACTGTGTGACGCAAAGTGTTGGACTGGATGGGCCACTGGCCTGATCCAACATGGCTTCTCTTATGTTCTTATGTCTGGGGCAGTGATGCTCTGTCTTCTTGGTGCTTGGAGGGCAACAGTTGGGAGGGCTTCTGGAGTTCTGGCCCCACTGGTGGGCCTCCCGATGGCCCCTGAGTTTTGGCCACTGTGTGACACAGGGTGTTGGACTGGATGGGCCATTGGCCTGATCCAATATGGCTTCTCTTATGTTCTTATGCCTGGGGCAGTGGTTGGTGAAGGGGCACAGTGGGAGGGTTTCTGGAGATTGAGGGGGGACATGATTGCTCTCTTTAAATATCTGAAAGGCTGTCATTTGGAGGAGGGCAAGGAGCTGTTCCAGTTGGCAGCAGAGGAGAGGACCCAAAGCAGCGGGTTTAAATTACATGCAGAAAGGTATTGGCTGGATATTAGGAAACACTTTTTCACGGTCAGAGTAGTTCGAAGGTGGAATCAGCTGCCTAGAGTGGTGGTGAGCTCCCCTTCACTGACAGCTTTCAAGAAGAGACTGGCTGAATATTTGTCAGAGATGCTTTAGGCTGGTCCTGCCTTGGGCAGGGGGTTGGGCTAGATGGTCTGTCTGGCCCCTTCCAACTCTATGATTCTATGAGTTCTGGCCCCTCCGGTGGACTTCCTGGTGTCCCCTGGATTTTGGCCACCGTTTGACACAGACTGTCAGATTGGATGGGCCACTGGCCTGATCCAACACAGCTTCTCTTATGTTCTTATGTCCGGGGCAGAGATGCTCTGTCTTCTTGGTCCTCGGGGGGCCACAGTGGGAGGGCTTCTGGAAGTCTGGCCCCACTGGTGGACCTCCTGATGGCAACTTATGTTCTAATGAGCTGTCCATCAGAACTGTGGGCTACGGCTGGTCCCGGAAAAGACATCAGTAGACAGGGAGTGGTTTGATCCTTGGTAATCTCGCACACAGAGGGTGCCCGTCGTAAGAAATAACCCCCCGTATCTCTTCCTTCCGCAGCAGCACTACATGGACGGCCAGATCCCTTGCGTCTTCATGGCTGCCAAGTCGGATCTCCCGCAGACGTCGCCGCTGCGGGGCCTCTCGCCGGCCGAGTTCTGCTACAAGCACCGCCTGCCGCCGCCGCTCCATTTCACCTGCAACGTCCACGGCGTGCCCAGTTCCGCCGTCTACGCCAAGCTGGCCACGGCGGCCACCTTCCCGTTAGTACCTTCCCGATTCCTCTCCCGCAAGAGGCAGTGGGCTTTGGGTGTGCCGCGCCAGGGCTGTCTGGAGATATTTTTGGTGCTCGAAATCCTTTCTCCGTAGTGGTGAAAACGTAAGAATTTGCTACAGTTTCAGGCGACCCAAAACCAGATGCCTGGAGGCAGACAATGGCATCGTCTCCCAGCCTAGTCAGGGGACAGCTCTGTGCCTGTCCCGCAGTGATCAGAAGTTGATGTCCGGAGGCAATACGAAGGGGCTCATGGCTCAATGGCAGAGCTCTTGTTTGGCATGCAGAAGGTTCCTGGTTCAATCCCCGTCTTCTCCAATTAAAGGCGTCTCACACAGTGGGGAAGAGGGTGCTCGGTCTGAGAACCCGTGTCAGCCGCTGCCAATCGGAGTGGTCTACTCTGAACTAAATAGACCAATACGTCAGCTTGGTATCGGGCAGCTTTGTGAGTTCCAGCAGTTAAGAACGTAAGCAGAGCCCTGCGGGATCAGACCAGTGAAGGTCCATCTAGTCCAGCCTCCTGTCTCACACAGCGGCCAACCAGTTCCTCTGGAGGGCCAACAAGAGGGCAGAGAGGCCGAGGCCTTCCCCTGAGAAGAACATCAGAAGAGCCCTGCTGGATCAGACCAGTCAGGGTCCATCTAGTCCAGCCTCCTGTCTCACACAGCGGCCAACCAGTTCCTCTGGAGGGCCAACAAGAGGGCAGAGAGGCCGAGGCCTTCCCCTGAGAAGAACATCAGAAGAGCCCTGCTGGATCAGACCAGTCAGGGTCCATCTAGTCCAGCCTCCTGTCTCACACAGCGGCCAACCAGTTCCTCTGGAGGGCCAACAAGAGGGCAGAGAGGCCGAGGCCTTCCCCTGAGAAGAACATCAGAAGAGCCCTGCTGGATCAGACCAGTCAGGGTCCATCTAGTCCAGCCTCCTGTCTCACACAGCGGCCAACCAGTTCCTCTGGAGGGCCAACAAGAGGGCAGAGAGGCCGAGGCCTTCCCCTGAGAAGAACATCAGAAGAGCCCTGCTGGATCAGACCAGTCAGGGTCCATCTAGTCCAGCCTCCTGTCTCACACAGCGGCCAACCAGTTCCTCTGGAGGGCCAACAAGAGGGCAGAGAGGCCGAGGCCTTCCCCTAATGTCGCCTCCTGGCTCTGGAATTCAGAGGCTTAGTGCCTCTGAATATGGAGGTTCCCCTCCGTCACCATGGCTAGTAGCCACTGATAGACCTCTTCTCCATGAATCTATCCGATCTTCTTTTAAAACTGCTTATTCCTGTGGCCATCGCTACATCCTCTGGCAGCGAATCCCAATCTTAATTTCCCTGTGTGTAAAGTAGTATTTTCTTTTGTCCGTCCTGAACCTTCTGCCCATCAGTTTGGCATGCAGCAGGTCCCTCGTTCAGTCCCCGCCTTCTCAATTAAAGGCGTCTCGCTCGGTCTGAGAACCCATGACAGCAACCGCCAATCGGAGTGGTCTGCTCTAACTAAATGGACCAATTCTTCAGCTTGGTATTGAGCAGCTTTGTGTGTTCCAGCAGTTAAGAACGTAAGCAGAGCCCTGCCGGATCAGACCAGGGGTCCATCTGGTCCAGCATCCTTTCTCAACCCAGCGGCCAACCAGTTCCTCTGGAGGGCCAACAACCGGGCATGGAGGCCAAGTGTGAGAGCCAGTTTGGTGTAGTGGCTAAGTGCGCGGACCCTAATCTGGGAGAACCGGGTTGGATTCCCCACCCCTCCCCATGCAGCTGCTGGTGTGACCTTGGGTCAGTCACAAGTTCTCTCAGAGCTGTTCTCTCAAGGGCAGTTCTGGAAAGAGCCCCACCCACCTCACAGGGTGTCTGTTGTGGTGAGGGGGAGGGAAAGGAGTTTGTCAGCCGCTCTGGGACGCCCCTGTTGTAAATGAATTTTAAAATCTTCACCCCTAGAAGGGTTCGCTGCAGCTCTGAAGCTCTCCCTGGCCAGTGCTACAGCAGGCGCCGGTCCGATAAAAGGCGGTACCCGGCCGGCCCCGCGTCTCTTCCTCTGTGGGAGTGACGCGGCCGTCGAGGCTCGGATCTAGCTGATTCCTCTGACCCGTCAAGCGCCTGCCTCCTGCCGGCTGGCATAAAGGCGAGCTCTTCCCCCGAGGAGGGTCGGAAATCCATTATTTATACTCGGCCAAAGCGAAAAGGGCAGAGGGAGAGAGAAGCGGGTCCTGAGCCTCCAGTTGAAGAGCTTTTATTTATTTATACAGCCTTTCTTTCAGTCTGCCTAATACACATAACACTGTGAAGAAGAGGCAGTGGGGGAGGGGGGCGTGCAATAGAAGGCTGGTTACGGGCGGGGCAAAAAAAAACCCCCAATGGTATTTTCGTTTCTTTTGTATAAAATCTGTTTTTACCTCCTTCCATAATATTCGGTTTCTCCTGGTCTGGGTGCATAAAACAGGGTGGGTAATAAGGGAGTGGGTGCAGAGCAGTGTTCCCTCTAAGCTGAGTCAGTGTGAGCTAGCTCACAGTTTTTTAGCCACCGGCTCACACATTTTTGCCTTCGCTCAGGGAGGATGGCTCCAGAGCAAACTAATTTATGCAGGAGCCCAATCGCTTGCTCACAACTTTAATGCCAGTCGCTCACAAAGTGGAATTTTTGCTCACAAGACTCCACAGCTTAGAGGGAACATTGGTGCAGAGATGTGCCCGTCTGAGTTTAGTTTGGCTGCCCTCCGCCAGGGTAGAGGTGGGCAAATTGTGGCCCGTGGGCCTCCTCCGGCCTTCGAACCGCGCGAACGGCTGTTTGGGAACATCAGCTGGTGGGCCGTTCTCTCAAGAACAGTTCTCAAAAGAGCTCTCTCAGCCCCACCTACCTCCCAGGGTGTCTGCTGTGGGGAGAGGAAGGGAGATTATAAGCCACTCCGAGTGAAGGGCGGGGTATAAATCCAATCTCTTCCCTCCCTTCCTTCCTTCCTTCCTTCCTTCCTTCCTTCCTTCCTTCCTTCCTTCCGGACA